GAAGAACAAAACTGCAGAAAGGGTGTTGAGTTTAAATGGGTGAGGGTTTAATGAGAGGAAAAGAATTTCATAACTTATGGAGAATCCAAATGGTGAGACAAGCTGAGAAGGGGACCTGCAGGTGTGACAGGTGACTGAGGACTAAACCCAACAACTATAATTTACATATTGTTTCTATTTTTTTTGGTGGAGCCTGTGGTGTTTCTGATGTGTGCTAACCTGGAACAAATATGTAAGAAGCCATGGCTGTGGAATACTCATTTCCCTAAGAGAGAACAATTAAATTGGCCAGAAGAAAAAAGCTGCAAGATAATACAGTGCAGCCAGGCAAATAAATGGGGAACACCTTGGCTCTAGTCACAGACACCAGAACCACAATTCAGTGAAGAATTTATTGACCAATAGGTTGTTCATGGAGGGGAAAAAAAACAAAAGGAAAAACAAAATAAAATAAACAAATGAACAACGAAAAAAAACACAAAAAAAACCCAAACAACAAAAGAAGAAAAAAAAAAGAAAGAAAAAATCACACAACAACAAAAAAACTTTGAGTAGAAACCTAAACCTGGATGACACTTAGCATTTAGAAACTGCAATAAAAGAATCTTACAAGCATTGTTAAGATATTTCATTTTAAGCTGGGGTTCTTTTAGTTAAATTCTCAGCTGTTTTGATGACAGGGAAGAGGAATTCTCAAAGTTCCTGCCTTTCTGAATTCACAGTCAGAGGCCACATGTCAGCAATTCTGTCAGTTCAAATCCTTCCAGAAATTGATGTAGACAGGCTGTGCTCCAGATGAGCTCCTCTTTCTGAGGAGTGTCCCCTTCAAGGCTGGAATATTGAATTTGTTGTGATAGAGTTGTCTCCCTTCTCCACTTTTAGAGTTTTCAGCTTGTGTAAATAAATAATTGCATATTCATTGCAGCAAGCCCTGGAAATCAGCTCTTCTCTAATATCCAGACTATAAAGCTCTTTTTTTTTAAGCCTGAAGTGATTTCTCTTGCATTGAATTAGAGTAAAAAAAAATAGTTATTTTTTCCTCTAATCAAGACTAATTTATGGATTACTAAAATCATATTTGATACAACTCAAACATTTGCAAGATTAATCACTGGGAAAAACCCAAAAAACCCTTCCAGCCCTAATTAAGTACCAGACTAGAAGATGGTATCGTTTACAGGCATGTGAAGGGATTTTTTAACTCAGATCTGCTTCTAAACCATTCCCTTTTATTGGCTTCTAGCAAATAATCTGGTGTATGCAAGTGTAAATAGCACAAGCAATATTAGTGGAGTTCATCAGAGTCTGCTGTGACTCCAGTGTTTCTGAGGATGTTAAATGTTTGCTCAAATACAAATGGAAGGGGGAAAACAAATGGAATTATAAACACAAATTCAGTATTGTATCCGTGGCCCTGAACAACACTGAAATTCAAAAAGAGCAACGGCTATTACATGTAGGGATTAAAAAATTCTCAGGTAATTGAAAAATGTGCTAATTACCCATTCTGTTCAAAAGACTGAACTAAGCCTCAAGCTGACCTCAAGATTTACAAGCTGAAAGGAACAGTTTAGTCACTAAAACCAACAAATTACCAAAATCTGATTTCAAAAGAATGACAAGAGCCATATTTCCTGAAGCAAAGTGCCCTGCAGATATTTCCCCACTGTGCCTGTCATTGCTCTAATCACATCTTCTGGGAACTTAGACATAGCCCTGCTTTTTTGTCTTACATCAAATCAACTCTAAATAAATCAAATGTTAGCTGCTGAATTTTCTGGAAAGTTTGGGATTAAAATAATTTTCTCGTTCTTTGTGTAGCTGGAACAAAAATATAGGATTTTGTCTCCTCATAGCATGGCGTGTTCAGATCTTGGCTGCTGTAAGGACAAGCTGTAACTGAGTAATAACATTTTTCTGTCTCACCCTGTGCCTGTGTATTTTCACTGCTCAGTAGCCTGTTGAACCAGGCAAGAAGAGGAAGGGAAAAACTCATTTCCATATTATCTGCACATGCTTGCACACAACCCTTTGCAGCAAATGCATAATTAGAAAATAAGATGATATGGAAAGGATTTTTTATTTTTTTTTTTAAATATGTAGTCCTCCTTCAAATATGTTTTGTTCTAAATAGCTATGTGAATATTAAAGTGACAACTTCTCATTCCTAATAGGTTGCCTGGAATAAATAAGTGAAAAAATAAGCCTTGCAAAAGATCTAATTTGGACCCAGGATGATAATTTATTTATAATGCATTCCTCCTCTCCCCATCGAGGCTCTCTTGGCAGTATACAAAGAATTATAAACCATATTAGAAATGTCACTAAATGTGTGCCTTAACAGACAAACAAATAGTAAAACCAGACCTGAGCCACATTGCTAAAGGCTGCTGGAAAGTGTTACAGGTTGCAGCTGGTTGCAGCCTTGAAAACCATTTTTATCAAGTACAACTTTTCACCTTTTTTTTTTTTTTTTTTTTTAAATTTAAATCAAAATATCCTCGTTTTTATTAGACGGCCTCTAGTTAATTCTGGGATCAAAGTGTACATGCTGTTCTGCTTCAGCTGGTTTTATTGAACTCAGAAGCTCAAGACTGAAGCAGCAGGTGCCATTAAACTGCTGAGCACTTTGCTTTCCAATTTATCTCTTTTTATCTTGAGAGCAACAAGTGCTCATTGCTGCAAATACGGCCCTGCCTCCTCTGTTTCCCCTGGGATTTTTATTCCTGCATTATTGGCAGAAGGTGCTGGCTGGGAGGGTGTGAAGAGAGCAGCCTGGTTTGTGCTGAGCTCCTGGAGCAGTGGCACTGGTGGCCTGTGCCATCTCCTGCCACGCTTGAAGGCTCTGATTTCAAAGGACTTTCCTCGGGGTGAATGGACAGAACAACCCTTATCCTTTAGTCATCTTTCCTTTTNTCTTTCCCAATAGCCCAGCAGAGGATGGGGATTCACTGATTTTTTTTTGGGGCAGGTGCTCACCCTCAGGGAGCTGGATCAAAGCCCAGCAGCTCATCTGAGCACTGTGGTGCTGTTTGACATTTCTTTATTTGACATTTCTTTGTTTGATATTTGACATTTCTGCCCCTTCTGGCAACCCTGGTGACTGAAAGGTCTCCAGGACCGTTTCCAGTTTGCTGCAGGTGGAGACAGAAAATCCCCTTGGGATGGCAGAGGACAACCTGCAAGTACTGACACACAAATAAGGGTGACACCATGCAGTATCACGTTTTATCTTCTTTTTCTTTCTCGGGATTAAGAGCTCAAGAGACTGAATTTTGTGTTTGGAATCAGATGTTTATTAATTCTTATCTCTATTACAGTGAGTGCTACAGCACTTCAAGCTATCAAACTAAAAATGGAGCTGGATCTCTCTCTCTACAAGGCCCTTTAAGGACCAACTGTCCAATTAAAAACTAACACCTAAATTATTTTTACTTTTAACCCAATAACCAACCACCCATGACCCACAGTGTGGATTTTTCCATCCAATTAAACAAGATCCCACCCAGACCCATGAAGAGGAAGGTGAAGAAGAAAGAAACCCCTGCCCTAAAACCTTCACCTTGCTCTCCATATATTGCTGTATTCCAAAACCTCAAATTCTCACTTTTCCACCATGTGGCATTACACACTTCTAGTCAAACTACACACCAGTGATTCCAGCTCTGTCATTCAGTTTTGGGAGCCTTTTCCACAGCCTCGGGTCAAAAGCAATGTTTTATTGAGTGTCAGCACAGAAAGGCCAAAACTCTCAATATCCAGGGTTCCCACAGTGTAGCAGATGTGCACAGAAGAGCACATCTGCTCCTTTCCTTTTTAAGGCACAACTACAGCAAATCGGCCACATTAGAACCAATCTAGGCAACTTTTGTGCGTGTGAAATTCTCTGTGTAGAATTTTATGAATAAAATCATAGAATTATGGAGGTTGGGAAAGACCCCTGAGATCATGGAGTCCAAACTTTAATGATCAATTTTGGGAAAATTGCAATGTCACAACTGCAAAATGTGAAAAGGCAGAAATGATTTTTATATTTTCAAAAGAAGTTCTTAAAGTATTGTACTTTGCCTTTCAAATATTAAAAGACACACTGTATACTTTTCTCTTAGAAGAGAGAAAATGTTCTGTTAAAAGTCAGTTTAGTTCAATCAGGTTACATCAAAATTTCATTCTCTTTAAAGAAAAATGTTTTTACCATCTATATTATCCAGCCTTCTTTTTCTGCATAATCGCTGCTGCCACACCATATTTTCCTCTTTTACCATTTTTATGATGAGATCTCCATCACAAAACCCATACCAGGCTACAGCCACCCTGGTTTCAGCCAGAATTAGTTGAGAATGTCATTTATGCTGAGTTCTCAAATGTCTGTTTCACTGACTTGGAGCCTTTCTGGGGAAGGTGTTCATTTTTTTTTTTTTTTAACCAAATTTCACAAAGTAAAATCCTAAAAATACCCAACCCGTGTTTTCAATTTCAAAAATGCTTTTGTTTAAAAAGTATTTTGGATTGTGTTATGACAGAAAACAGAAGAGCTGATTTGGGAGTAAATTATTTGAAATGAACCCTTTTTGTATGGGAAATTTCAAGCTTTTGTGTTGCTGCTCAGAACAAATGAAGTCTTCAAGTGACTGTTAAAAGTTCACTCGGCTCAGAAATTTCCTATTTCAGGTAAGAAAGAGCAGCAAGAGATCTGTAATTTGCTTCATATTTTGGGAAATTGCAGTATGTGGTAGTTCAGATTCAAAAAGGTATTTGAAAATCAGGTTTTTGGCGTTTCTTTTCCCCCCTGTGTTGCACTGTAACAGTCAATCCAATTAAGTCATCTGTGCTGTGTTTCTTGTTACAATAAAGCAAATTAATTGATTTTTTTTTTTTTCTTTTTCCCCCTGTTCCATTTTGAGAGTAAATCAGTTTTTCTTACATCTTCTATCAGGGAGAGCTCAGGAGAGTTGCAGTGCTCTGGTAGCTCTTAATGATATCTATTTATTTTGCTCTAGTTTTGCAGACCAAGATATTCGCAGGGCAGCAGTCCAGCAAATAGAAAATGTGTCAAATGATGAATTGTTGGAATACCTCCCACAGCTGGTGCAGGTAAGGAGGAAATTGATAGCCAAGGAAGTCTTCAGTCCAGATCAATAACTTCATTAAATACTTTTGATGCTCTCAGGTTGGTTAAGATATTGCAAGAGGAACGAGTAAATCTTGTCAATGGATGCAATGAGTGCCTTAAAAACGGGGCTGGGGGAGAGATTTTCCAACTCAGAGAATGGAATTGTTTGGGAATTCTGATTGGGCTTTCATGTAGAACACGTGAAGGTACTTTCAAGTAAGAAAAAAAAGTTTAAAAGTGCATCTGAACAAGAGAAATTCTGCTCAGGTGTCAGGGCTTCATTGCAGTCGAGGAAGGAAATGCTGTTGCCACAAATCACTGGGTTTTTAATAGACCACTGTCCTGGTTTAGGACAAATTTGGGAGGAAACCTCTGAATGAGGTCCCTCTGGAAAAAAAGGAAAAAAATTCGAGAGAAGCTGGAAAAAAAGAAGAAAAAGTCACCCCAAGACAACCAAAAAACCACTGTCAGCACAGACTAAAGTGGACATTTGGGTGTGGAATTGTCTCTTTAGAGATACACACTGCATTTCACTGGGAATTAATGTTCTGCAAGTTAATCAGTGCTTCCAAAGCCCCTGGTGACTGGATAGATGCTGAGCTGGGGCTGAGCAGGAACTTTGGAAATCTCCATCCCCTCACCTCCCAGCACTGCGTTTGTGATATCTGCTTATCTACATAGATATGCATTTGTGAATTTATTCATGTAATCCCCCTGCTGTGAGGCAGCAGAACCTTCACAGCTTTACAGCATCCACAGACTCCTGTGCCCTGTCACCTTCACAGCTTCTGTGCCAAAATAAGTTTATTTTCCCAACCAGATCATCAGATAAAAAAAATTAAATATAGCAGTGATAGATTTAAGTGGGGGAAGACAAGCTGCCATGTTAACACAGAATGAGGGTGTCTGTCTGTCTGTCTGTCTCACAGGTGTCTGTCTGTCTCACAGGTGTCTGTCTGTCTCACAGGTGATGTCTGTCTGTCTCACAGGTGCTGTCTGTCTGTCTGTCTGTCTCAGGGGTGGTGTCTGTCTGTCTCACAGGTGGTGTCTGTCTGTCTCATAGGTGGTGTCTGTCTGTCTCACAGGTGATGTCTGTCTGTCTGTCTCACAGGTGATGTCTGTCTGTCTCACAGGTGCTGGTAGGTCCCTGTGAACTGAAGCTCCTCTGCTCATTGCATTGCCAGAGCCAGCTCCACGTGTCTGATTGCTTTGTTCAAACCAAGCATTGGGTTCTTTTGGATTAGTTTTTCATGAAGCTGATGTTGATTGCAATTTTTTTCTGTGAAGGTGCTCAAGTTTGAGTGGAGTCTTGAAAGCCCTCTGGTGGAGCTCCTGCTGCATCGTTCTCTGCAGAGCATCCAAGTAGCCCACCAGCTTTACTGGTAAGACCACCTGCCTTTGCTACCACTGCCATTTGCTGTCACAGTGACATTTATCCATGATTCCATTGGTGGTAAATCCTCCTCTGGTACAAAATCAACAGGAAAACTACGTTTTTCTCCTTCCCTTTCTGCACTGAGTATGGGTAACTTGAATAAAAGACCCATTTATCCCTGCCTTCATCCTGCCCCTGGCACGAGGAAGAGGGACAACTTCTGCTCCCATTGGGTTTTTCAGCATCTTTTGGTTTGAGCCAAAAATGGCCTTCCCCAAAATTTTTCACTTTCAAAGGAGGCTTGCTGCTTTTGTGATTTCCCTGACCTCTCCTGAAGCTGTCAGAATTCTCATGTGTGTCAAAATGCCTCACCCATTTTTTTTGTATCAGTGTGATTTGTGAATGGTAGAGTTTCCAACAGTTCCTTCTCATGATTATGGAGATTGGAGATTATGGAGATTGTGGATGGATTATGGAGATGCACCAGGCCTGGCAGAAATTGCCATTCACCCCCTAACTCCAATATAAGGGATCCTCTTATTGTATTATTGAATTATTCTGTTTGCTGTGCTGTTACCTCAAGGCTCTCTGAGAAAGAATGTGGTTTTCTGATGTCTCAACATCTGCCCTGTGATCTGGAAATCAAACTCTTGTGTGTTTTTCTTCATTTTTTTTCCCCCTCATCTTTAGTAATGATGGATGAATTGAGCTTTCATTTACAGTTCAACTGGTTCAGATCCCTTAAACCAAAGCTTTCCTCCCTACAAAGGAAAGAAAACAATTAGAAATGTAGTCGGAAAGAAAATAATTTGAATTGTAGTCATTTGGTTGATGAAGTGTGAGGCTGGGCAGAGCATAAATAATACTTTCATACCTGCATGGTCTCTGGAAGTGTTAGTGGGGATAAAACAGAATTATTAATGTGTTTGTTTTACTGAAATGAGTAGGATAATGTGCTTAATGAGCATATCTTTCAAATAAAGAGGAACCACATTTAGTGAGCCATTTTTCGACAGTGCCTGAAACATGCCTGAGACAATTTCCACTAATATTAAATTTAGTCATACTGGATATAAAATATCCATTCTGGAGTTCTTAAATATGCCCTACGAGCTGGTAGTTTTCCTGTAAAATTAGAAATTATATCTAGGGTTCAATGGACAGGGGAACATCATTAGTTTGCCTGCTTTTTCTTTAACTCCTCTCTTATCTTCTCTGAAGAAAAATTACTGTCTACAGTCTTCTTCCTCTTTAATTTCCAGTGCAAATCCCTATTTCCTCCCAAATTTTGCTCAAGCTGTCTAATATCATCATCTTGGGTAATACAGAGCAGTGTTTCCATCCTGAATATGGATATCAGGCTAATATGGTTATCTGGCACAGTGCAATGTAAAGTGGCAAAATAAATTTATTTTATATACAGCTTACCATTTAAATGTTTAGATCACATGTTACAGCCTAAACTGAGAACATAAATGTGGCAAACATCTCTTAAAATTCAGTGCTTGCATTCATCATCTACACTCTGGGGGGTTTTTGGGTTACTCTGCTCCATCGTGTTCTTCTGTAGTAAATTGTTTTCTACCTCATATTCCATTTTATGTAATTACTCATAGTCCTGCTCCTGTAGTTTAAAAGGCAGTTTCCCAAGCCATAAATTCTACTTACAAAGTTTTCCAGTAGTTTCGTGGGGTTTATTAATAAAATCTTAAATAATTGATAAAAGAGTTCCTTCACAAGTTGAATTTCAGTCATTCTAAAAGTAAGGGAAAGCAGAGGTTCATTTCCACTTACTTCTAAAGAGACTTTTAAAAGAAGTTCAGTGATTTAATAATGTGGGGAGCACGTGTGTGCGTGTACACTCAGATAACTTCTTTTAAGAGTTGTGATTAGGTTACATTTTATTCTCAAGTGTCACATTCTGTTTCATTACCAAATTAACTATCAAGAAGCAAGGACTGGTAAAAAAATACTGTAGTAACTTTTAAAAAATTTATTTTTAATTGTAATGAGTGACATTGCAATAAAAATACTCTTAAATAATACAACAATGTGCATGCTGTACCTGCCCAAAATAAAACTTGGAAAAGAAGATTATAATATTATATAATATTGCTAATGCAATATAGAAAATTGGTGAAGTGGTTTCAGAGCCACAGGGGAGAATTCAACTGATTTCAACTTCCATGTTTTACAATAGTATTGTAAATTTAGAAATTACTAGAAAAGGAGGTGACTAGCAACACTGTAACTTATTTTAATGACAAATACTATTTATAATAAGATGTCAATTATTTCAAATTGACTCAATTTTCCCTGCAGGTCAGAGATAAGCAGCTACCCAACAGTGGTGTACCATCTCATCACTTTTTTTTAATATGAATGTTGGATGACAAATTGTTCATTCCTTTTCATCAAGCAGTGATAAGTTTGTCTGAAGATTTTATTTAAAAATAATGGGGCACTAACTGGCAAAAGTGGACAGAACAGAGAGAATGTTCATTCATGGGAATATCTTCAGCTGTTGTCAGGATATTTTCAGTCTGTTCTTTGCTTGTATCTGTTGCAGATTTTTTCCATTATTTCTGCTGTTGAGAATGAGAAGGCTCTTACACCCTGTTTGAATGTTTGAGGTTTTTCTTGTCATTTGTGTCTTTCTCCCTTCTCTAAATTCTTGAGGGATCTGGGCCATCTGCATCCATCAGTGTTTCACCTCCTCACTGGTACTTCTGGCTGCCCTCCCCTTCCCAAGCAGACTAAAATTTGCCAGCACAGGACTCGTGTGCCACTTAAATCCCATTTTAGTCTTATTCCTGGCCTTCCTAATGTCCATGAGGCACAGAGAATTACCCCCCTACCTTCCAGACATTCTCTCTGATGCTGGTCCCACCAGAGTTCCTGGGAGCGAGTTTCCCCATTCCCTGGAGCTAAACCGATTTTAGCAAAGCACAAAAAGTTATTTAAGGGGGAAGAAACCCTTCAGCTGGCTGGAAACCACTGTTCATCTCCTTGATGTTTGACACACAGGTGGATTTTTGTCAGCTTTTGTGCTGGAGCTTTAATCCACCTGGCGTGCTGCCAGGTTTCCCTCTTGCCCGAGTGTTTTTGGCTTTTGGCTGCTGTCACAGGTGGCAGAGTGGGATGGGGACAGCTGGCTGGGGCAGCAGGTGGCCAGGAGGATGTTTCACACATGGTTTGCCTTCCAGAGGAGGATTGAATAATGGGGGGAAGCATCCTGGGGAAGGTGGTGCTCGGGAGCAGGCTCCATCCTCACGGAGGAGTGGGAGCGTTTGTAAATTCTGCCACGGCACGGGAACCTGGTTGGCTGAGCTCAAGAAAAGAAAAAAAACAGGTGAAAACCTTGCTGGAAGACAAAATGTCCTTGTGTAGCTTGTCTCCCAAGTCACTTAAACTTTGGAGAATTTTCCCAGTTTTTGATAAAATGTCCTTGTGTAGCTTGTCTCCCAAGTCACTTAAACTTTGGAGAACTTTCCCAGTTTTTGATAAAATGTCCTTGTGTAGCTTGTCTCCCAAGTCACTTAAACTTTGGAGAACTTTCCCAGTTTTTGGCATTTCTGAACTGCAGGTTGACTCACAAGAGAAAAGGGAGTGGTCTGTCTTTTCCAAGTCCACGTCTTGTAGAAAAGTAAGAATGTGAGATTAAAAAGGAACTTGGTGGAATCCAGCACACCGGAAATAATGTGAATCAGAATATTGATTTCATGGCTAGAACACTTTTTTATTTTTTTCCTGTATACAGAGAAAAAGAATTGTAAGAAGCAAAAAGAACATAGCAATGTATAAAAGTTTAAAAAGGCCCCAGTTATATTTTCTGATCTCAGGAGGTTTGTGCCTCAATACCTTCTTCTCCAAAATAATTACCACTGCTTCACTCAGAACTCCAGCATTGCAACAATTGCTTCATATTTTCTGAAAGGAAAGCTATTTTTACCTGTCAAAACTGGTCTGTGTTAACAATAATCATAACTTAAAGAGTTCAAAAGAAGGAATAAATCAAGCAGATACTCATTTGTCCAGCACTCTTAATTATCTGAACATTAAACAGATGACCATCCTCCAGATCTTTTTCTTCCTGCATTATCATATCTTTCTCTGACAGTCAGAAGTTATCCAGCCTGCTAATTATTAAATGAACTTCCTAAATAGCTGTGCAGAGCAGGCTGAAAACCCCAGGCCATTAAAATCAGATGAATGTAAATACAAAAGATGCCTATTCCTGTTTTTGCACTAATTTGGTCCTTCCTTAATTCTGAGCAGAATGAAAGGAACATTTAATGGTGTGTGTAACTTTAGAGCTGTGCAGGAATAGCCAGCCCAAGGATGGGTTTGGTTCAGCCAAGTGGTGATTGTGAATCTCCCTGGAATTCAGGGAACTTGATGTGATCATTTTGTTTTGGGCTGCAGAGAACCTCAACCTCACACCTTGGGATCTTGGGATTTGAGTTCTGAAATTATAATTCTTGCTTATGTAACTCCAATCATTTGGAGACCTTTTTTCTTTTTTTTTTTTTATCTCTAGTTACTTTTGGGTCGAGTAAATGCCACCATCAGAGCATTATTTGTGTGAGATAATGATTCAGCCAACTTCTCATTATTAGCCTGGGTTATTGCCTTGTACAACAGACACATAATTATTTTGTTTCCTAATTTACAGGCTTTCGATTTTCTCAGAACTCTAGTTTTAGAAAAAGATGATGTCAAATGAAATAAAAGAGATTGTTGTACAGAAGTAACAACTGTTGAGTTTGACCTTTAGTAGTTACAGACTCAGTGAGAAAACAGTATATTTAAATCATCAAAACCATATATTTAATTAAACACATTTTAGATTTTAAGAAAAATATTTAGTATTTTAAAGTCACTTTTTGGTGTCTCTAAAGACAGAGCAGTGAACTGGCTTTGACCTCAGCTGGAATTGATAAAAGGAGGAACTGGCTAGAGGACTAGAGGACTGTGGGGCAAGACCACATTTTAAACTTTCCAAAT